ATGGATCGGGAGGATCCGTAATGACGTGTTTAGCGCGACGTCGTCCATTCAGTCCACAGCATCGGGTATGCCGGAATACCACCAACCGGTCGCTCTTTTATTTCAATTTACGCACCGCACCATGCATTCCTGGCCTATACGGTATATATGGCTGGCCATATATCTAACTGACGATCACTGGAGCAGACGGAGACCGCGCAACGGAAGATGTAACGTGAGACGCACCCTGGCTAGGTGGTGCGATGACCTCCGAACGGTGGCCGGCAAAAAGTGGATGAGGAGAGCCGTAGACCGGGCTCAGTGGTGTGGATTGGGAGAGGCCTATGTCTAACAGTGGACGACTGTGGGCTGTTGATGATGTTGATGATGACCACGCATTCTACGCTCTCATAGTCGCCGGTCGCCCTGAACCGGGTCACCGTAGGAGGTTGCCTCTGTGAGCTGGGCGTACACCCTTTTACAATCTGACGACGGCGATCGATGCATAGAGAATTGGCCTCCCACTCATAAAAAAATCAATTTAGCTGTTTTTTAATTTTTAAATAAACTACTACTAAATGATTAACAACTTTCTGATGAACTCATCTTTGTTTAATACTTCACTATTAAATTTTATTGCCTTTTGTTTATTTCACTTTTACACTAAACACAATATTTCAAATTACCCGAGCACAACAATAGCGGAGAATTTTAGGTGCATAAGAGCACACGTAGACACTAACGCGCATGCGCACTTGTACCCAGGGAGGAAAAGTTACACTTTCTTCCCTGTACAGCGGGACGAAAACCGAACTTTCGGCGTCGGTAGGAGAGAAAAAAGAACTATGTCTCTCTCGTGTTCCCCCGTTCGAAGTGTCGACATGTAGAAGTGAAACATCGTCTTTCTGGATGCGCAATTACGGTACATCTTAGCCACAAGTCTGCTTGATTTGAGCGACGAAGACACTACACTGCTTCTACCATGCCATGGGTATGCTCCAAAGAGTTCTGGTTTATTACTTACCTTATGGTGCGACTTTATAGTCGGATCATTCAAGTTGATCTCCTCTAGATATATAAAAAACAATGTAGAGTTTACGATACCTAATTTATTAAAAAAATCGACTATACGTTCAATTCTGTTTCACTAGCAAGTAAAGTTCCACAAAAAAAAACTGAATTCAATAGAACAAACGTAAGAATACATGAACATTTTTTTCTCCAAACTGTGTAAGAACAGTTTTTGTGATCTGAGGTCATTGTACACAAAATTAGATTATAACACTTTAATAAATGCTGGCCACCTTTTTTGTCACTTCAAGGTCCACAGCAAACGTACTATAACGTATAAAACTATTCACCCTGTGATCTATGGTTTTAATATTTATTTACTACAGGTATTTTGTTTCAATTTTTTTGGTGATAGATTTATATGTATTATGTACATGAGTTAAGTATAAAAATAGTAGTGAAATAAAACGACCACGTATAAGAACAAAGCAAAATCAAACACACTGTTATTGTATTTATTACCTATAAACCAGTGATTCTCGACCTTTTTTTTGTTGCGGCACATATTTAACGATTTCAAAATTTGGCGGCACACAAAGAAAAAGATAAAAATGATTTACTTACTACAACACACTGCATAAATAGTTTATCAAAAAAATTTAATATACGAAATAAACTAAAATATACTATACATTTTTTTTGTGGATTTAAATATATTTTCATGTTTAAAATATTTTTCTTAATGATATAATTTAATAATATTAACATTATTATATATACGCAAAATTTGGCGGCACACTTTTGAAATTTGGCGGCGCACAAAAGTGCCGCGGAACAGTGGTTGAGAATCACTGCTATAAACAATTAATGGTAAATGTTATATCATAATGAAACAACACTGTGCCACCCATAAATATCTTTTTCAGCGACTGCTCGGAAGAGATTTCTTTTAGAAATAAGGACAACATTAAAAAAAAAACAGACCGCTGATTTTTTATTGTTGGCTCTTGTTGGGTGGTATTATATTTTGAAAATCTATTTATAACATATCATAACATTACATGACATTGGTACACGGAATATTTTTTATGGCTTTATATTTGTTTCAGTTCAAAATGTGCAACAAATTATAAGTTACCATAGTGAATACTGCCTCATATAAAAAATTCAATACATTTCAAGTCGGAGTTGATATTTTCATTAAAAAAAATGTTATTGCGTAGATGGATGGACGAGCTCACAGCCCACCTGGTATTAAGTGGTTACCTAAGCCCATAGACATCTACAACGAAAATGCCGCCACCTACCTTGAGATATGAGTGCTAGTCTTAGTATAGTTACAACGGCTGCCCCGCCCTTCAAACCGAAACGCATTACTGCTTCACGGTAGAAATAGGTAGAGTGGCGGTACCTACCCGTGCGGACTCACAAGAAATCCTACCACCAGTAATTACGCAAATTATAATTTTGCTGGTTTGATTTTATTACACGATGTTATTCCTTCACCGTGGAAGTCAATCGTGAACATTTGTTAAGTACATATCACATTAGAAAAAAATATGTTCAGTTTTCGGGACCTAGGTGCGCTTTGCCTTATGTGTTATCGGTACAAATGATAAATGACTTGGACTGTTAATACGGCTTCTTTTTTTATTGCGTCAAAGCCATACAACACAGCAACATACCTCCAGTTCACGTTCGTATTTGTATATGAAAGCGCCTTACATTTTCTGCCTCAATTGAGATTATCATTGCTATTATAACAGTGCAGGCAATTTTGATAAGACAACAAAGAAACAGCTTGCTGGTTTAATGAACATGAGAGTTTAATGACCATATCTAGTTGTTAGAAATAAATGAAATAATTAGATTATATTTAGTGCTATGCTATGTGCCCTTTCGTGTTGGTCTTACAACCTATTTTTTTCCGCGAAGAAATGATGCGTTACGTCTCAAAAGTTAGCGTGCGTTTTCATTATTAGATACGATACAAAATAAACTTCGATGTCAATGCCCACCTGATACACACATTATGTACACTCTGGCAGAACTTTTTTTTTCTAAATAAAATATTTATAGGTTTATCATTGTTTGATGAATTTGCACGTTGCAAAAATAATTCATCAGTTTCGTTCATCAAAGTGCAACCAATACAGTGGCGCGTATTGTTTTGTCAAATGGGTATTTTAAAAAAAAAAATTTAGCAGGAGTTCATATTCACTACATATACACACTACTAGTTCTTATAACTAAGACGTGAAAGTAGCAAATTAAAATTTGTTGATTATGTATTCGTTACTTTTACTTACTTATAAAAAATAACGGTGCAGCAAGACGAATGTTCACGTAATAACTAATTAAATATAATATTCAATTAGTTATTTTGTTTTATGTATGTATAACAATGTATTTATGTAATATAGTTTTACGTTATTATTATCGAAACTATGATGTAATACAGCAGTGCGCCGTATAAAATAACAAATAATGATTTGTTTTAAACAAAGGGCATCAGTGTCTTGCATGCATGTTGGCTCATCCTTAATATTCAGATAATGTCTCGAAGGTATTTTAGGCGATGAGTGCCTTTGAGTGTATTTTTAAACTACTAAACAAATTATGATATAAATTAAAATAAAACACGGACAGGCACGCACTTGTGAGTGAAGAGGTAAAAATATAATATTTTAAATACGTCATTCATATTTTCATACAGTTGATCACGACGAACTCTTTTAATATTTATAAAAATACTAGCATTTGCCCGCGACTTCGTCCGCGTGGAATAGTTACTTTGGCATAACGCTAAATTTTACCCGCGACTTCATTTACAGTACTCAGGATTGGAAATTCATTACTGAACCGGTTGATGGCGTTGAAGAAGCTAGATTTTGAGATTTTTTGACAAACAATTTTTTAATTTTTCGTAAAAAATATTTTTTTTTTTATTAATAAAAAGTATCCTATGTTACTTCTAATACCTCCAAGAATATGTGTACCAAGTTTCATGATGATCGGTTGAGTAGTTTTCGCGTGAAAGCGTAACAAACAAACTTTCATTCACATTTATATATTAAGTAGGGATTTCTGTTTCAATTTGATTTATTTTTAACGCGTTATTTATTTAGATTAAATCGTAATTCGTTTGAAGAATTCCGACGCGGTCTAAAGCGTAATACGCCTTTTGTATAATCGTATCAAGCAACTATGCCGATGATCCAATACTGCATGCCAGAATCGATTTATTTTTTTATGCATCGACCTCGTTTTCATGAACTCTTTTTTTCTCCTGTGCCTGATATAGCCTTGAGATATAGCCTACTGGGAGCAGTATTACCCTGGCGTGTATGTGAGCTCTCGGGGCTCAAACCGGAGGTGTTGCTAACACAGGCCCTAGCAAGAGCCGTGCTTCGCAGAATCTACCACAGGATCGGAAACGCGACCCACTGAGAAGATCCGACGAGAAACTCAGTGGGCTGTGTCTATGGGTTGATTTAATAACGGTGACCAGTGCTTGAGGTACCTAAAAGCACCGTTAATGGATCGGGAGGATCCGTAATGACGTGCTTAGCACGACGTCAGCTGTTTATCATTTGGTCCACAGGATCGGGTATGTAGCATGAACTCATTCCGCGGTGAAGGAACATAATAACATCGTGTAATAAAAAATCCACTCCGCAAATTTTGCTTTGCGTAACTATTGATTTTAATCTCCTACTTCACTGTTAGGCCAATGGGCTTCTTTAACGACTTAAGACGAATGGATCCAGTCGGGGTGTTCATAGACAGAAATAAAATAAAAACTTAGAACTGCGTTTGACACAGACGGCTTCAGTGGTAATAACCTCCACGTATATTAGGTAGTCAAAGAGTCTTTTCAACAAATGAGTGTATTTTTTATTGCGCGTTAGTCATTACTAAGCGCAAACAGTTGTCGCTTAAAAATAAAACTTATGTAACTTATCAACAGTGTCATGTCAAATTTCATTTAATATAAAATTATTGGCTTATCACACGACGGCAATCAGTCTGCGAATTCAATAGGTGTGTTTATTTGGATTGGGTAATCTTACCCACAGTCTTTGTTTCTTTAACTCGAGTAACTACCTAAGGGGTGGGCCAAAACACTCAGTGCAAAAATAAAAATTTAACGCGAAGTTCGCACTCAAAATTCCGAATACATATTAAGACTTTTATCGCATCTTAAATTACCGCTTTCCGTCGTTCATACAAAACACATGCAAAGTAACTACTTCGCATATGTATAATAGTGGCCTACTTTATGAGGTAAAACAGTAATATTATGGAATAGAACACAAAATCACGGAGCACGGTCTAGGGATGGTACTCATAACGAAACTATATATTGCAGACTAGTAAAAACGCATTATAAATAATCGACTGAACTTTCGTGCCCCCAAATACGACCATTACCAAACCACGCATAGACAAATTCCAAAGAACTTGGACTGTTTCAGAATACACACTCTGACTACAAACCTGTTTGTAGGTATCACAGCGGTCGTGCAATGTGGTCACGTGATTCCATTGACGTCAATACTGACCTCTGCCAACGCCGGCATCGGCTGCCTCTTGCCCGCTTATCTGACTCGAACCAACCAACGCGGCAACGTTCACATACGACGCGGCGCGTGTTGAATGCCTTCATTCAGAACGATTAATAACTTAAACACATTAGTAATGAAAAACAGTTTTAAAAATAGATTTTTTTTTGTATTTAAACCTAAAATAAGAATGTCCTTGCTTGCTATAAAGGAGCGAATACTTTTTGTTTGTCGCAAATTTAGTGTGAATAGGCTGATTAGACAAATTATGAAATACAGCAAATTATCACATCAATAGCCACGACGTTTTTACGGTACCTACAACAACTACGGTATTTACAACATGCTTTTACATAATATAGAACATGCTATTATTTCAAGTACGAAAATTCAATCCTTTTGCAGAACAAGTACACAACACTTCCTTGGGATTATCAAAAACGATTTATAAGTTATCGTCAACATATGCCAATTCAAATAATTCGCGAGTCCTAGACAAAATTAAAACTCCTTTAATGGCTCAACCTGACAACTGTTTACATGAGCCTAACGCGAGATTAAAGTTTAAAAGTAATTTTAGTAAATTGTTAACATGACGTGTTCCTGTGATTTCTTATTAACTACAATAGGAAAGGGTCCAAAAAGCTACTTACACCGCAGCATCGTCTATCTCGAAACATGATACCCACAAGTTCTATTAAGATGACATACGTACTTAACAAATGTTCACGATTTACTTCCACGGTGAAGGAATAACATCGTGTAATAAAAATCAAACCCGCAAAACTATAATTTACGTAATTACTGGTGGTAGGTGGTAGGTCACAAGACCACAACAACAACATAGCCACCACCCTGCCTATTTTCTGCCGTGAAGCAGTAATGCGTTTCGGTTTGAACGGTGGGGCAGCCGTTGTAACTATACTGAGACCTTAGAACTTGTATCTCAAGGTGGGTGGCGCGTTTACGTTGTAGATGTCTATGGGTTCCAGTAACCATTTAACACCAGGTGGGCTGTGAGCTCGTCCACATATCTAGGCAATAAAAAATAAAATAAAAGTCTTGCTGGAAGGACCATTCTTGATTATTGAACATGGTGTTGTTAAGGGGCTTCACTACCTTCTCAAGAATGGTATCTTGATACACTTGTGCCGATGTTTTGATACCTTTTTCACAAAAGTATGGCTCAGTCACTCCTTCATAGCTCATACCCCACCAAACCATCACTGAAGTCGGATAGTGCCCACGTTGCACTCTGTCGACTAATTGGGAAGCTTCCTTAGAGATTTTAGCATAAATACGGTCATTTTATTTGTTAAAATGTTGCTCAATTGTAAAAAAAATCTCATTCGTAAACAATTTTTTTCTATGACCTCCCTTTGCGTACCGCTTCAGTAGTTATTTCGATTCTACCACCCTATTCTCTTTTAAATTATCAGTTAAGAAATGACCAGTACGTCTCTTATAGGCTGCAAGTCCTAAGTCATCTTTTAAAATATGGGACATGGTTCTAGGTGCTATCTTCATCTCCCGAGATAATAAAATCTTTTGCTTTCGGACAGGATTTCTTCGAATTCTTTCCCTTACTGCTTTAACCACCTTTTTCGTACGAACACTACGTGGACGGCCAGATCTTTTTCTGTCACAAACAGAGGAGATCTCATTGCACCTATTAATAGCCCGGTACACAAACATTTTACTAATACCAAGCGTATGGAGAGTTTTAAAAATTGCATTTGGCTCCATACCTAGTTTGTGTAATGCAATCACAGCGATACGGTTCTCTTTATCAGCCCACTCCATTTTAATATCGCAAAATATTGTACAATGTATTGGCGCCAAAATCAGAAAACTCAATGAGCAATCATATAAAAATAACAGATTCTAAATTCAAATGTAATATTTTGTTTATTTTTAATTGTAACAGTATTTATGGCCAGACTAATTATAATGTCCTTTTTCATAAAGAAGTCTGAACTACGCCTGAGCGGTAGATAGCGTCTTGGCTATACTCTCATTCTTGGCTTTACCTATGACCGATATTAACCATTTGGGATAAGGTCTTTCGTTGGCTCTTCGACAATATCGAAAAATCTGAGAGCGGCAAATTCGAATATAATTTATTGGGACGATTAATCTAGAAAATAATACAAATATTACAAACGGTTCACAATCAAGTCCGTTAAATTGAGGGAACCAGAGTAGAAATATTTCGGTCCATTCGTTGACTGCGAGAAGAGAAATAAAATCCTAACAACAATTTCGACACCTTGTTAAATGATAATGAAGAGAATATTTCCAAATTCTAATCGAGGACTTAGAACGATAAACAATCAGAAATATTGTAATTTATTCCCGGGACACGTTTTCTCGGCGAGTGACTTCACTTCAGACCGTATTCACTTTCACAACATGGTAAAAGCCACGTGNTTCGTTGACTGCGAGAAGAGAAATAAAATCCTAACAACAATTTCGACACCTTGTTAAATGATAATGAAGAGAATATTTCCAAATTCTAATCGAGGACTTAGAACGATAAACAATCAGAAATATTGTAATTTATTCCCGGGACACGTTTTCTCGGCGAGTGACTTCACTTCAGACCGTATTCACTTTCACAACATGGTAAAAGCCACGTGATCTATCGTAAGGAAAAGGTCGGATGGCAAACAAAAGAATAGGAAAATAAAAGTTAACACTTAAGTTGCGTATTTGCGATGCACCCCGCATTCAATGTTTTGTGTTTCTTTTTTGTTCTACCCACTTATATTGAAAAATGACCAGTATTTTGTTTTATCGCTTCGATGGGTGGATCAGCTCACGGCCCACCTGGAGTTGTTACCGGAGCCCAGACATCTACAATGTAAATGCCACCACCCAATTTGAGACGAGTTCTAAGTCTCCGTTTTTACAGTACAACGGATGCCCCACTCTTCAAACCGAGTTTTACTGATTACTGCTTACGGATTACTGCTTCACGGCAGAAATAGGCAGTGTGGTGGTACCTACCCGTGCGGACTCACAAGACGTTCTACCACCAGTAAAACTTGAAACCTCTTTGTATTAAAATAACTGAACATGTTTTGGAAAAAAAGCCAAATAAAACATTAGGGTGAAACTGCGAGATTTTTTTTATATTTCAGTCTACCGCAACCCACCGCTAAGCTTGTATGTATTATGTTGTATACTTCAAGAAACACATAATTCAAGCCTAATACACTCAGCTCGAAACATTATATATTATTTCAAATCGAAGCCAAGTNAAACGGAATTGTAAAATAGAAAATTATATCACATTACAATGCGTTGGGCGTGCCATTTTCTATCGCTTAGTCGAAGAATTTTATTACTACTCCTACTACTCATTCAGTGATTGGAGTGGCATTAAAAATAAACTAGCTAAACCGTTGATTCTGGGCGAATGAGAGTTAGAACTAGCATCCAAAGGCGTGTCTCTATCCCACGTAGCGCCCTCTAGTGAGTGCGCGGCCAAAATGGAATACTCACAGTGTAGCAGATTCATTGAAAGTTAGCCCACTGAGTTTCTCGCCGGATCTTATTTTATTGTTGTTTTAATATTATTGTCGATTTATAATTGCATAAATTGATAAAAAATGCTATGCAATAGCTTTACCGCGGCAGCCTCTGAGTGCCACACGTCTTTTTTTGTTTACAGATCACATTTTTTTATTCCGCATTCAAAAAATGTAATAGAAGCAGTCTTAATTAATTGTAAAGTAAAGTCAATATTTCTGATCGCACAGTTACAAGTTAATCATTTATCTTAATTTTTTATCATTTAACATATTTGGACGAACATATCTTTTAAAGTGAGTCGATATCCCAAAACTTACAATCAACATTTCGTGTTGCACTTTTTCTTCCAACAGAATAAATGATATATTTCCCCCTTACAGAGTATAAGCAAGCAAATGAAATATAACAAATGTTGTAGTTTAAACATCACTGCCTGAAATACCAATGCTAATATTCAATTTATGTTTAAACTAGTGTTTGATATGTATTTTAATGATTTTTTTAATGATGCAGTAGAATTTGTTTCGTTAAATATTTTATTTTATTTAACACCATTTGGTTATTCGACAGTTTTTAAGAGATTTTTCTCGGACACCATTTAAAATAACATACCAATAGCTACATCACAACTGAGACAAAGAAATATACATATATACGCTCGGAAAACATTACCATCAGCCACTGAGTTTCTAGCCGGATCTTCTCAGTGGGTCGCGATTCGGATCCGGTAAGATTTTGCGAAGGACTACACTTGCTACGGCTAGTGTTAGCAAATTCTCTCAGATTAAGCCTGTGAGCTCACCCATGGAATAGGATTATCTATTGCTATCTAACCTACCCGTCCGGGCGTAGCTGGAATACGAGTAGCCCCTAAGCTACCGGTGTATAGGTAGGGAATAAAAAAAATATTACCATCCTTCAGCAGTCGGAAAAATAAAGGATCGATTTTTGTATGTTTCATTTTATATTTGTCTAAACCTTTCTTTGGTTTTATTTTTGTAACTCAAATAATATATAATGTATATCTTAGAACGGCGGAAAAGATGTAGTTTCGTTTCGTAATGAAGAAAAAATAAAATATAGGCGAAGTAGACATAGATCTGTTATAAATGTTTAGTCTCGGTTTTTGTTTATGTGCAGGACTTCATTTCTCCTACAACTAAAAAAAAAGTTATGAATCTTACATTGAATTTTGTTGAAGTTTGAGCGATTTGTACAAAAACAATTAATCAAATTGCAATTTTCTATGAAAACACGCAATGCCTCGTGTTTGTACCACTAAATAACTGTAAAAATTAAATATCCTGTCCTGTCAAACAAGATAGACTCCTACATATATAATATTAAGTAGGGATACTTTCACGTGATAAGTTCAAGGTAATAGAATTTTCTAAAATATTACATAATACAGCATTTAAACTTTTATTCGAGATAAAAAAAATTGGTTACATTTACAATATTCAAGTAGGCATCATCATGAATCTTTTATGATACATGAAGGTACTTGTGTGCAACCTGTTCACTCCAAAAATAGTTAAAGCAACCATTAGTGATTTTCTTG